ATTTATTGATAAAGACGGTCACTTCCATTCAATAGCAAGTTCAATATTTTGATAAATATGAAAAGAGATTAACCTTTTTAGAGTTAAATAATTTGTTTTTTGTACATTAAGAAGCTACTGTTTAATATGACCATTCGTAGTTACAAATTACATCATATATCTATAAGAAATGTTAAATAATTGATTGGAAAATAAGTAAAATGGTTTAATTGCATACATTCTAATTAGATATTGGTTTTATTGACATATCATTAATCACAGAGGGGTTTTGTGGATATTATAGTAATGAATTAGTTGAGATCATGAGTCAATTGAAGCTAGACTACCATGGAAAACCTGGAAGCACTGGACGGCCGTTTCGTCTTAGCATGGGACTCCTCAGTAATGCGCGTCCATGACCATAAATGTTCTTCAAAGTTATAAGCATCTGCCGGTTGGTTTTTTTGTTGAAATACATAGATTATTAATATTCATAACTCGTCAGTCTTCTACATGGCTCTGAAATTTCATTCAAATAATCATAATCTTTTGCATATCTTGATTGGAATGATAGTAATATTTTCAAGAAATTGAGAATAAGTTTGGAATCATTCTTACTTCACGTATTCAATTTAGGTTTACATGAATATTCCATTATTGAGCATTATCTCCGCACGAACAGCCAAATCGACCTGTGTAGAGTAGTTTGATAGTATTTTTGCTCACAGTCCGATCCACTAAGCTGATGTCACACTAATTTAAGTAGTCCTGTGGTTCCATAGATTTCGTACAATCACAACTGTGGTACACCATAAGATTACATTAATTAGGCCTACCCAATCAAATCCCTAGTGTGGTTGAAGCTGATCACAACTGCATTCCAAAGTCCATTCTAAAAACGTCTGATTTAGGGATTTTTGATCCAGTAATCGCATGTCTAATTGACTAAAAGTGTTTAACAAGTTTAAATGAATTGTTTATACTCTGTGAGATCAGTATGAATATTCATTTCATTAATTTATGAGGTGTTTTAATATTAGTTGCTGTGTAAACTAATTTTGTAAGTCTTTATAAGGTTATATTAGTATAATAATGCTCTTTGCATTTAATTTAAAATGTATTCAATCAGATTATTTACTGTTGTTACCTGAAAACGAATTTAATACTGAAATAAGACTTTTTGGTATTAAGCATATTTTATCATCATGAATGTTATATTACTAAGTGTAAAAGTTCATATCAAGCTACCAAATTGTTAATATCAAAGAAAAATTCTTTTAGCAATAACATTAAACATTTTTCTGAAATTATATGCTTATGAAAAAATATATGACTCCAGATTATAAAATTTCAACGCAATTAGTACATTTATGGTACATTGGTCTATCGAAGTATATTGTACACTATTTCTGACTGTCAATATAAGTAGTATATAATACCAATCAGAAGAGTAATGCATAACAGCAGAAGACTAAGAAGATCAAGTTAAAGAAAACAGAAAATGAAATAGAAAGAAATTATGAATTGTAAAGAAGTATACAGAATATAAAGTATAACTGATAGAAGATTTTCAAATGAAACACTTCATGTATGGTTCTTATATTTTGCCAAAATATTCTATTCACTACAGTAGTATATAATGAAGTTATGAAATTTTTTAATTAACAAAACTACATTTTAAGTACTCGACTGCAAAAAGAAAAATAAACGAGATATTTTTTATAGATAAATATATGATCTATTATAGTCTTATATGGTTGAATATATTCAACAACAAAAAAAGTTATTTAATGAACTCATCACATAATTTTCTTGAATAAAACTAATCTTGTCTATGATGTAAAATCAATTCATGATTTAATAATTAACTGTCTATTGTAATCATTCAGTCGTCATTAGTTACGTGTGAATGATTAGTTAGTAGATTAAATTAAAGTATAATATAATTACAATAAGTAAATCAATCATTGTTAATATTATATCTAGTTATGTTTATAGTTGGTTCAATGAATAAATGGATAAATAGATAAGAAATTTTAAGCTTTTCTGATTTTCTTAATCAGTCATACATAAGATCATTACTTTTAAGTTAAATAGATGTCTACAAATCACTCTACTAAACAATTATAAAGTTCTTTCATAAAGGTATGGTTAAATGGTGTTAGGTGAAGACAAAACAGATGAACACATGAATTCTAACTCATAAGTTTGAAAATAATATATTCTTCATAAAATCTTGAAGTCCTTTTTTTGAATTTGACAAGATGTGGAATTCAGTGTGTGTATTGTAATAATGTCGCAGCATTTGATGAAACATCGGTTTACTTTCCGCTTATACTTAATAAACATTAGCTAGTAATAGAAAAAGAATACTTTCAATATAAACTGATTTGCACAAATTCTCACAAAAAAAGATTGTTATTTTCACTGAACTATAATTTCTCCATAGTAAACTCATGAATACCACTCAATTCAAACTTATTGAAACAAAGAAAGTCCTAGTTTTTCATCACATATATATTATACTACTGAAAGCCTATTAATTAAAGACTACTTTACTCTTCATATTATCTTGTAGTAAAAGTTTAAGATATCACATTTAAAATTTTTTTTCCGTTTTATTCTTTTATTCTCTAAATTATTCTGATTATAATGAGGAAAGATGGATAGTGTCTAGCAGAGGAATCCAGGATGTGCGTTTCGTCCTATTTGGGATTCGTCAGCTGGATATACTTGCATCTGAGTTGATGTTCACTCTGGGACTCGAACCCAGCACCATTCGATTCAAACGCCATCGCGTTATATACTTAACTACTGAGTCCTGACAGCCACCTGCTTGTGCAATGGGGTGAAATTATATTCAATATGTGTTGTTTACTTGCATCTTCCCATTGTTATTTAGGACTGAAATTGATCAGTCTCTTGTTAGCATATGTGTATCCTGTGCGGACTGTCTCGATATTGCCTCCTGGATGCCACTACTATCCATTTTTGCTTATAAAGCTTGAGACTTCAGGCAATATCGAAGCAGTCCGGACAGGATGCACATATGCCAGTAAGACTGATCAATTGCAGTCCTAAATAACAATGAAAAGATACAAGTAAACAACATCAAGTGAATATTTTGATTACCGTTTCTCCATTTAGAACCTTAGCATTTTTTGATACAATATAACTATTTTTAGGAGTTAATCATAATGAAAACCCATAGAAATCATAGAAGAATAGAGAAAAGTTAAAAAAACAGGTAGAATGGACAAGATTAAAAAAATCTGTCCAATTTTCTGTTTACGTTCACTAATAAAATATAAAGGAAAAGAATTAAACGCTTTAATTTTTATGATTGACTAGTTTATAGATAATAACAGTCTATGGAAAACTAATTTGTTCATAGACTGATATTTAAGCATGTACGTATGAATATCTCCGATAAATAAAAATATATGTAATGTACCTCTTATTCACAATAACACTTTGTGACAATGGATCATAGAAAAATAAAACAAATACCTTGAGTAAAATCATATTATTTTTGTATATCGCGAGGCGGGATCGTGGATGCGCACTTCCGAGGAGTCCCACAATAGGACGAAACGGCCGTCCAGTGATTCCAGGTTTTTCATAGTGGTTCAACTTCAATTGACTCATGATGTCAACTATTAAAATTACTTTAATATCCACAAAACACCTTTTGATGTAAAAAAAATGTTTGTTTAATTCGTGATGAATATTTTCAGGTTGAATTAAGTGTAGATTAACTGTTTCGTAGCAATCTTTGATAACTTTTATGAGGTTTGATAATCGTCATTGAAATTAAGTGACTTTATGTTTCAACAACAAGCTATGTTTTGGTACGATAAGTATAGTTACATCAGTTACATTGAATAACAATGCTATGCAAATCTCCCCGTGTATTAAATCATACGAAATAATTAACTTCAGTTCAAATGTAATATCATACGTTTGTACGGTTCTGTTACTTCTCGATATGTCTGATTCAATTATCCTAACATTATTTAAATCATTTTCAAATGTTCCTGTAGAATATAAGGAATATGGTACTTTTTGTCATATGTATTTTTTCATTAATATTCGCTTGTAATGTCTACATTAGGCAAATCATTGATTTTCTATCACTAGCCTTTTCTTGATCTATAGTCGCATCAAAATATCAGACGTCAGTAACATAAAATCCTGAAAAAAACTAATGAGACATCCTAATTAAAAGAATATTTTTGTTGTCTATAGTAATTCCTTGCTAATTCAACTACATTTCTTCGTTTAAAAGATGGTGTTATATCATTTTTCGGCATCTAAGAAAATAACCAGTATTGATTTTTGTGCAGTTGTTAAAATTATTGGACTGAGCATCGATAGAAGTAAAACTACACTGAGATCACGAAATGACAATCGCATACAAAACCTGGTTATTTATTCTTACCTATAAATTATAGAAACCTAATTTGAGCGAGATAAATTGTATAAAATACAATGGCTACCCACCATATGCAAACGTGTACTGCACAGATGTTTAGTATTTGTATTCCATAAACCCAATAGATGGCCAACAGAGACTTCCAGCAAATGACTGTTTCAATACATTTAGTACGTTTATAAATTAGAAAATATAAATCCCCACTAATTCTATTCCCAGGTAAATGAAAATAGTGCTACATCCCTAGTAATAGAACGTCTGCCAAAAAAACAAGCTGTTTATATTTGTTACTAATATGATGCTGAATGATATCACACCGTTTATTTATTCAAGTAAAATGTTTTTTTGTTGAATCTTTATGATAGATAACCTGTATTTTAACCCAATTCAGGCAACCATTAAAATGTTTCCTTGCTTTAAATCAAACGCAGGAAGCATAATATGATAGTAAACTAAACAAACTGCCGTAACATTATCATAACTAAGTTGTGTTTACTCAATAAAAAATCTGGATAACATAGTTTGTAGTCACCGATCAACTTCAATATTTTATTTTAATTTTACTGTGGATGTTTTTGTTTTAAAGTTCCATCTGAAGCACCACAACTTGTGCAAATAACTAATGAAGGTAAAGGTCAACGAATAGATATTGGTCCGTCACGGCCTGCAATTGTTGATGATGGAAGTATTATGGTTCTTGAATGTATTGCTCGTCATGGTAAACCGGGAGCATTGCTTACATGGTTTATTGACGGTGTTCAAGTAAAATTAGAATCGAATCCTGACAGTACACCTGGATCATTTATTTCTGGTTTCTCTGGTAACTTAACATTTCAACTTGAAGCATCTGCTAAAATACCAAGACTGTGAGTTTACTATATTCTTACGTTGATATTTATTTTTAACTCATAAATAATATATTGATATTTTTCATCTATTTAATGGCTCTTTCATAACGTATGAGTTTTCTTAATTTATCAGTAAATAAATACGTCAGTCTACTAAAGATAGAAACCTTAGGCTAACTAGCCTGTTATACGGTAACTACTGATTAAACAGCTTTGCACCATTTCATGCAATTTGTTCTCCTTATGAATCTATAAAAGGCAGAAGAAACATGGATGTAGAATAATATGAATTCATTATATTTTGTGGTTGCTCATCAGCTGCTTACAACCAAATACGTGCTAGAATTTTACAGTTAGGTCAAATATAGGGTGAGACGATTTACATAAGTGAATGCAAAGAGTTGGAATGACAAAGGTTATCAATAATAACTACATATGGTGCAAGAAAAGGTCGGAGGTCATTTGATGCAAGAATAAAAACATGAGGAGTGGGTGATGTAATAATTGAGTGAAGTTCAGAGACAGAGATGATAAATTGTGCGATAATTTTAAAAGTAATGAAGGGCTTACACAAGATTCCCGGAATAAAAAGAAGGTTAAGATGGGTTGCGTAATAACTCAACAGGATTTGGAGAGTTTACATAACTTAAGAGAACTAAGTGAATGAAAATGTATGAGTGGAGGAAAGCATTTAATGTACGGAAAATAAGAGTTCGGTAATGGAAGAGCAATATAACAAAATAAAACTAATGACTCAAAAATGAATTACTAGGGTAGCAATAAGTTTATTACTATCTGATTTTAGATACATGATCAGGTTTGCGCTTATTTTATAGCAATTACTACAACAAACCTAAGAGAAGCAGTGTTTCTTTGTCTACTAATAATTTTAAAAGCTTGAGGGATGTCAATGATATGCCTGGTGTCGAGTATCGTGATGAAAACCTTAAATCTAATTCCAAACCCTAACATTCAACTGTAAATCGTAATCCTAATTCCTCACACTAATATATAACTCTCATTTAACCCTGATAACTAGGTAGATATTCCAAGGTCACTTTAGCGTTGCTCAAAGGTCATCCATAAATTATAATCTTACCACAAGAGGTTATTATAAATTCCTTTCGTATACAGAAATTGTGTAACTTGAACTCTTAAAGTTTATGATATTATGTATAGTATAATTCAATTGGAAATAGGAATCCTCAGATACATAAAATGAATAAATCGTAAATTTAGGCAAAATGATGATTTATTTTTCTCGCAAAGTCACAAATAGTCGATATCAGAAAACAAATTTTCCATATTTTTCAGCTTATAAATTATCCACTAAGCATATCTCAAATTGAAAAAAAAAAAGAACGAGCTATATGATTTGTGTTATACACCATTTTATGTAAAGCTTTACACTGTTTTCTTTTTAATTTAAAAGTGAATACATTTTACACTTATTGTAATTTGATTTTGTTATTTCATACAGCTTAATAATTAAATAAGAAAAGAAAAAAGAAATTTATATTTAGATATTGTAAAAATAAGGATTCAAAGTAAATGGTTTAAAACCATAATTATAATAACCATAATAAATACGTTTCAATCTTAACATTATTTAGTCGTTTATTTTGAATTGCATTACTTTTATTATGATTCACGATCCCCCTTTTTTCAATATCTATCTAAATGTTACTATGTAATGTATTTCAAACATTTTCGTTTTTCTTAATTGTGTTACGTCTTGAAATTTCAAGCTGTTTGTACAGGATGGAAAGTTTTCAAATAGAATTTTATTCTACGAATATCAATTTGATTTTGATTATTACCCTGAAGAAGTCCAGACAAGTTAGCTGGACGAAACGTTGGAATTAGTTATATTTCAATCGCTGAGAATATTTCAAATATAATTTTCACATATAATGACTTCTCTATACTCGGCGCTCAATTACTGTCAAACTATTCGTTCTAATCTTGACGAATATTCGTATAAATCACTGATCTTAGTTTGTGTAAATCTTGTTTTTTTGTTTTTTAAATGTATTGATACTTCTTTTTAATCGCCTATTATATCTTCCTTACTTGTTATAGACATAGTTTTACAATAAGTTTTAGTTTTATATACTGATCTAATGGATAAATAGATGGTTAAATGTTTAAATAGATAAATATATAAAACGACACTTAAATCAGTAAATACGGTGTCTAGATTGTATTCAATAACATTAATTAATGTTGATTAATTGTTAACAGTGTCTGTTATAATTGATCAATATTAATTTTATAATTAGTATGTATCTTATAAACAGACAAATACACGTGGTATACATTGGACAACGTGTAAAAAGGCCATGTTCTAAATTATGGTTGAAATTAAGTTTTGATTATACTATTTACAGTTTAATAAAAATTAAGTAAAACTATAGTGTTTCATTTTTATCACCATTACATTATAAACATTTTCTCCGTTTTTTTAATCCTGATATCTATTTTAATCACATTTTCCATGTAAATAATAAAACACTAGAAGATTTGGACTATGGTTAGTAGTGAAATCTAGGAAATGTTTGTCTCGTCTTCTTTGGGACTCGTTAGCTGAATACTATTTCAATCTCAGTTAATTCGTCATATAACGTGATCCTTAGACGGTGTCATTATCACCGGTCATAATATCTCATTACAATATTTAGAGATTCTTTGAAAAAACCAGTTACTAGAGTGAACAAAATTCTTTCTTGACACATGAAATGAAAGTATACTTTATTATTTCTCGCTATGATTTTGTATTTGTGTTTATTAAACGTTTAAGTAGTTTAAATAAACATAGTAGTAAATATTTGATTCGACCAGTTATGCTGTTTTATCAGCGTTCTAAAATAAGATAAAAGAATAATTGTGAATAAGTGTCATGTCAAATAAAAGTATTGTGATAGACCCAGAACAATGTCTACAATATATTGTATAATATTTGTTAAACTTTTCTACTCAGCATTCATTGATTCATCAGCTAATCGACGACTGTCATGAATTTTCAATAAATAAATAACTATATATATATATATATATATATATATATATATATATATATATATATATATATATATATATATATACGCAACTACATTTATTATACATTGTAAACTGTCTTGTTTACAAACTACCCTGTATGATATTTCATTATCCTTCAATTCTGAGAAATAAGCTACGAAAAACTTTACCTTTCAAGAGGAAATACATTGACATCCTGGAAACAGTGGTTTTTAAACCATTGTTTCGGCTTAATTCAGAATTACAAGCTAGATGACTATGTAGAATTTACAGAATATTTTTCGGAAAAATCGTTATTATAATTTGACGCAAGGTGTTTCTTCGAAGTAATATCAAGTTCTACTTGAATTTTACTGATTCTTCAGTTGACGTCAATTACTGATGAACATTTCCTTTAAACAGTTTATTCTTCTAATATAAGAATCCAATTCTTACTACATAGACAGTTATTCATCCCTTATGTTTAATTTTGTACTTATTTTATATATCGTTATAGTATATATATATATATATATATATATATATATATATATATATATATATATATATTGTATATGCCTATCATTTGCAAAGAGCTGCTAATGAATCGATTGGATGGCATTTTGTAACTGTAATAAATTATGGAATTTTTATTTTTATCTAAGTGTATATATGTGCATTTACTCACATAAATTAATTAATATTATAATGTCTATAACAGCTGCTGTAACGTTTTGTGAATAGAATTTAGCTAAAATGATGGGAAAACAAAGGGAGAAGTAAATCATAGTAATTCTCAGTATCTTTAGTATCTAATTCACTCATAAATTAGATTAATAAAACCGGTTAGACTAATGATGTTTCATATTTTCACACTAATATTTAACTATCTATCCATAGTGATAGATAAATGACTTAGATACCATCAAATAGGTTACCATTAATATATATATATATATATATATATATATATAACAGGAAAAAAGCAATTCTTGAATATAACCTTAAACTTAATTAACTTTTCGTTACTTCTAATACATTGAAACAAACTTCATTCAAATAATTATACCTATAAATCAATCACTATTGTAAACCAATGATAAAGTAACTATTCCTTTCATTGTACATTCAGATAAAATTGAATTACAAATATAAAAGTTAGTAATAGATGTGTGTTTTTCTATATTGTAGTTGCTGGTTTTATTTCTGTTCATATATGTTCCATTTTACTACCTTTCATAATAAAATAAGAAACCTTTAAAAGCTTAAATATCTATGTAGAAGGTGTATAATGGGATTTTATAACAATCAACTTTAATATGATTTGAAACTCATACAAAAATGATTTCGTTAGTCTTTGCATTCATGCCTATTGTGGAGTTACACCTGAATTACAATTTTTTTTAATATCATAATAATGATCAATTACTGAGTAAAAATTCAGTCGTTATAAATTTTTTTCAATTTTTTATCCATTCCCAGTATAGTGAGACCATATTTAGATGGAAGAATGTATTTGTAAAATCTCAAAGAATAAATTTGAAGTAAATCTAATGTTTCTCTTGACAATCTGGTCCAATCGTTTTCTAGGAAATATGATCATACATCAAGATTATAATTCCTTCATAAAGTTTGGACCAGATTGCTAGGAGAAACGTTGGATTTACTTTAAATTCAATCTTTGATATTCTACAAATACATTCTTCCTCCGTCATATCTCATATGAACTCGGAGTCCGAATACTGTGAAATTATTTGATCAAGTCTAGACAAAAGTTTTTATACGGTAATACTATTTGTTGAATTAATCAAGTGGGATCTATCTAACTGTCAATTTAATGAACACTTTAGATTATTAGGTATATTATATAAAACAATTTAAAGAAACGTTGATTTTTGAAAAAACTGAAAATTAAAACTTCGCTAATTCACTTATAACCTGATCCATAACTTCAGAAGCACATTAATTGATAATAATATGAATATAGGAAGAGCAAACAT